AAGCAGTGTGTACAGAGTGTGAAATGTAATACGGGCAGTGCCTGACACAAATGAATACTTCCCCTATTCTGTGGAGTTTCACTGCAAAACCTCTCTCTCCATTCATCTTCCTCCTGCCTCCTCCTTCCCCACCCCCTGCTACCTAGGGAGCCCCGTGAACAGGCATATTGGCAGTAAACTCAGCCCAACAAAACAGTCTTGTGAAAAAGGGAAATATAACACTATCACTTCCTATTTCTTTCTCCTTTCCTCTGCATCAAAGCCTGGGCTGGCTGTCAGGAATGTTCAAAATGAATAAATAAAGTGCAGGAACCCCCTGCTTCAGAAGGAGTCTCATTCGCTCACCATGAAGCTTGGCCAATTCTTTTTCTGACAGTACTCAAGTCAGCAGGCAGAGCAAGAAGATCATTCAAAGCTAATCAGTAAAGTGTAAACCTATTATGAAAGCACATTTACCCCTCGCTTCCTCCTCCCTCCAGAAAACCAATCCCCAGATCTGTGGGAATAACACATAACGTACATAAAAGTTGCTATTACTTAGATCCCCTGTTATTAGGTCAGCAATGCCACTGATGAAATGCTCCCCAGAGCACTGAGCAGCAGCATATAAATCCTCCAAGAAATTCACAGCATAATTTGTTACAGCTAGAGGGCATAAGATACATTACAGTAAAGCCTGTGTATTAGACTCTCCCCTGTGATTCTTGAGGCTATCTCTGGTAATAAAAACCTCATCTTGATTTCTTATCCTTTGTATTGATTTCTGCCAGAGAAGACTTTTCTTAGACAAAGATACTACTATATTTTTCTGTATAATAAGTGATCCTTCTCCTCTCTTTTCCCCACCCCTTTTTAAAATTTATTTTAAGGATGATTCCGAGGAAGACTTGTAATTTGGGAACTCTGGGTATGTACAGTGGGTAAAGAGTGGAGAAGATGGCGATGACAATTTTTGCATGTGCAGTGCAAAACCCTAAATGTGAAATCAGAGAAAAAATGTTTCTGGTCTGGAATAGTACAGGAAATTGAAACTAAGCCCCCAGCTATGCAATTGCTGTATTTTAATATGAAACTCCGTCCTTAATGTAATAGATGGAATCCATGGGAGTCACACGATTAAAATCCAGACTCAGATGTACATAATCATAGCAACTGTTAATTTTAGAACATTTGTACTCCTGCTCTATGAATCATATAGCTACCTTGAAATAAAGGGACGCTTGTAGGTATACAGCATGATGCTTTTTTAAAAAAGCTTTCAAAAAAAATTACCTTTCTTTTCTAGTGTGGTGCACAGGGACAAGGCCAAACAGAAATCTAGAAAGCTTTATGTGAATAATTTGCAAGTCAAATAAGAAGAGCTCCAAAGAAGTCAATGCAGATAAACAGAACAATGGATGGTAATGCTGTGAAATGCAGAGTGTTGTATCAAAAATATTTTATCTTCTCTGCAGTGGGATTACTATAAGCAACTGGTACGTTTTCATTTCATCTGTTCCTTTGGGTTTTGTTTTATTTTGCCTTTTTACAAACCATCTTGATAAGAAGCTGTCTTGGGTTTTGAAATGACTGAAGCCATGCCTATCCCCTTGTGCAAAGAAAGTGGTAAATATTTATAGCAGTTCCTACAAGTGGAGAAATTTAATACATGCTCATTGCTTTTGTAATCTAATAGCAGCTATGCTGAAAGACAATACCTGCTAATTGTATTTCCTATCACATCCTTTTCCAACAGAAGGATAAAATATGGAAGTTTGGGTTTATTTTTTTAGTATATACAGCAAAATTTATTCAAAAGAATCTTTGTTCCCCTTTAGCTATCTGTTTATTTAATAGACTATGGAAAATAGTAAACTCTGTCAAAAAGCCTAGTTAAAGAGTAATTTATAAGCTACATTTAGCTGTTGATGTCATAGCCTGGCTTAGTGGAGAGCCCAAATATATCCTGGCGGGTAATAATGTAAACCTTGATAATTCAGAACTAACCACTGTTCAGCAGGCCAGGCAGGAGCAGGACACAACTCCTGCTACTTCCGCAGTGTCTCTGCCGTGCACCACATGGAAAGCTTGGCTCTGCGTGACACACATGCTCCCCATGTGTAGAAACTTGCTGATTTTTTTTTTTAACCTATTTTGGATGCAAGTAAATATGTCTGTGGCAAAAATTATTTGGTCAGTTAAATAGAGGCCTCCTGTGAAGAGCAAGATGGCAAGCAGCGTACTCTGACTCTTCTTGGTCCCATAGATCATTGCATCACTCAGCTAGATTGAAATGAACTGAAACAGTGGATGATGTCCAGCCTTTGCTGAAGCTGATGGTAGCCTTCTCACTGGCTTCACTGGGGGCAGAATTTTATCTACCACTCTGCTAAATCACCATAATAGCTTTTACTGATAATCTGTCTAGTCTTGGCTGAAATGTGCTTTCCTGATTTTTAGAGATGATGCTGGACAGCTAATTTAAAAGAGAGTAACAGAGAGTATGATCAAACACACTGCTCTGCCTGCACCAAGTCTGTCACTGTTCCTCTGCCTTCAGAGGTGACCCCACACTCAGGCACACACGTAACTGCACATGCAGCATTTCTTTAACTCCGCTCTATCAAAACAGTCTGATTTTGCTTAAAACTGCATTTTGGTTAATTTTTCTAAATATCAGATTGTTTCAGAGGAGTGGGCAGAGGAGCAGCTCTGTCAAGTTATTCTACAAGGTTGGAGGGAAGCTGTTTTCTCAGTCTCTCAGCTGCAGCAGAACAGTATGCCTGACTAAAGGCTTGTCTATAAGCACTGGTGTCATTGATTAACTCTGTGTGTGGGTATATCTTAGTCCCATTTAATGCAATCACTTGCTGAGGAAAAGCATACTCATATTGCTATCTGAGATCAGTCAATGCGGTGCTTATATTCAAACATCTGCTTTAATCTTTGTTAATTTTCAAGTCTGGATGAGATTCAGTACTACTGAACCTGACTACACCAGACCAGACAACTTAAAGGTTAGCTAAAGAACTCCTTATAACTTGTTTAATCACATATTTATATGCTGGGATACTGACTATGTCTGCCTATAGCCTTGAACTCTCACTTAAAGTTGGGCCCCTGGGCACATCTGGAATATAAATGGAGCAATGAGGTCCCATTTCACTGGTAAGGGCTACTGAATAAGAAAGCTCAGCATTTACACTCCACCTTACATCTTCAGAGTATTTCATAGACAAATGAGACTGAGATTGCTTATACAATAGGTAGCGAGGGTTTTGATGAACTGCTCATTCAGCCGTTCCTCTCCAACTCCCTTGATCGAACGACGGCTTCGGCTTCCTCCAAATGATCCTTTGGATTGGTCAGGCTCTTGGTTGGCACTGCTGTTAAGTGTCTCCATGGAACGGATTTTACTTTTAATAATATCTCATAACTGTCTTTAAAGAGGTTTATGGCTCAGCTTTACTCTCTAGGAAATGGCATGTTCTCTGCTAATCTCCTGAAGAAACATTGTTATTGGTTCACACAGTATTTCAGCTAGTTCTCCTCAAGCTCTAGAGCCAAGTTAATTGGACGCGATAGATCTATGTTAGAGAATTACTGTTAGATGAGAAAAGGCATAAGTTATTAAGAAAAGGAAATAAGATCATTCTGTACCTCAGAACATGCTGGGAGTTGTGGGGAGCAGCAGGAAATGGTAGCTCCAGAAGTGTGCAGACCTGGCCCTAGGAACAGGGTTGATTTAGGGAATGGGGAAGTGCTTTGTAATAACTGAGGTTTGTAAAACCAGTAGTTCTTTCTAAAGGAGAGCTAGATGGGGTAAAAATATACTAGAGTCTCGAGTGTTTATAAGAGGCAAAAGTACAAGAAAGAAGAGAAACATTGTGGCAGACCTGTGACAGCACTATTCTTATGATTGCTTGCTTTCTTGCTTTGTTTTTTCTTTTTTTTTTTTAACAAACACTACACTGTCATATAGCTACCAAAACCTGATTAAAGTACTCAGGGAATAAATAGAGCAGGATTTCATGTGGATGCGTTTGTGTTTCCAATTGGAAACTGCATGCGGAAGGCAGGTCCAGTACACTGAAAAAAGGCTGAACAACTACTGGACAGGACACTAGTCCACAAGACAAATACAAGCCCTGTAACACCATGGAGCAGCTCAAGACACAAAACCACTGGAAGTATTTTTGCAGAGTAGCTGAAAACTTGCTGCCAAATCCTGGAACTTTTGGGTGCTGCTTCCCAATTTACATGCAAATCCACTGGATGGGGTAAACCCCGGAAAAAAAATACCTATATAATAAAATCAGCCTGTATCCCTTACCACAAGGCTTTAAAGTGTTGCCATTTAAAAATTGCCAGTCTCAAAACTTCTTCAGCTAAAGTAAACTTCCTGAGAGAACTATAGGTGCCAGCACTCAGTTTAAAAACGTGTAAGTATGTGCTTAACTGTACTGAGACGTGAAGTTTTACTGAGATCAGCAGCACTACTTAAGCAAAGTTACATTTGGGGGAGTGTCTTGAAGGTCAGGCCTCAAGTACTTCAGATTCATATTGGCTGCTGGATAATACCAGCAGCAGGCACCTATATTGCAGTACCAGTGATGTGACGTGATTTGCTACAGCAAATAATAATACTTCTATGTCACGGAAGATTGCTTTCTCTCTCTTAAACCTTATGCATTCAGACAGGGGAAAAAAGCCAGTGTTCCTAAACTTTAAGCATGCTTCTTACAATTACAAAGCATGCAATCTGAATGCGTCCCCACTTTAATGTCTGTGGACCTGATTCTGTAGTCAGTTGTTCCAGGTGCACCTCTGATCCCTGCTGGACTGTGCAAGGAGTGATGCACTATTCTGGTTTCCCCAGTTAGGAGTCCTGCTGCTCAGGTATTGAATTCTGGAGCTGGGATCACCACTGTAAAATGGATTTTGCAATCTGTAAGAACTGCAAAATCAGGCTCCTTGGGGCAAATGGACTTATTAAAGTGCAAGTGTTTATCTCTGCTCACCGGCACTCGATGAAACACTGGCTGATCTGATCCTGGAGAGTTTCCTTGATGTTGAACCCCTCTGTTTCTTTCAGCTTGTCCTTGATGAATACCTCCTCATGTCTCGCCTGGCCCTCACCTTGCATGGTATTTACTTGCCCAGCACGCATCTGCGATATACTCATTGCCTTTAAGTGAGAAGGTAGGTTCTGACAACGACAAGAGGAGAAAACAAAAAGGTATGAATTAAAAGAAACTTAATATAAACTGGAATGCCAGGTTGACAGTGAATCCGAGCTTAAGCCTTAACTTATTTGTGGGAAGCCAGGAAAAAACCCGGTGCTCATAAAAAGTGCCTGGATGCACACAATGGTCTATTGTTAGTCTTTCAGCATTAATTAACAACATTGCAATGTACAAAAACAACCCTTCCGGCATGGGATCCTGGGATCTCAATGAGACAGGTGAGAAAGCTGCTGTTCTGCAAATGCCAACTTTATCCATGTCAGAAGGGTGCCAGAGATTTTTTAATTGAATTTTCAAATGTTTGGACTTCCCATTGGTACTTTTTAATTAGCCAGTATTGTTTTTAATTTGTTCACTTAAATTTTTATATGCACTGCTTGGTCAGTGGTTTCCTGGTATTTTGTTGCAGCTGGTCATATTCCTTTAGGAAATCAACTTCCCTTGAGGAACAACAACAACAACAAAAAAAAAAACAAATCCCCAAACAGCATAATAAAAATCATAGCTCCCCAAGTTTCCCATGATTTGATAACCTTGGCAAGACAGACTTCTAAGCCAGTTTTAAGTCTTACAATAATTTCTGCTTTGTGATTGATTTTACATGTGTACTTTGAGAGAGAAAAATGAAAGTCTTTCTGGTATGCAAATACAGAAGCATGAAAAATACCATCTGTGCGGGTGGTCTCAAACTTTGCATTTTTTAGTTTGCAATGGTTGATAAAGTTAAGATGTTCCCAGTGTTTTACGAGCTACTACTACCTTGTAAGTGCTGAGAAAAGTATGTTTAAAAAATTAATGTATAAATTAGCTTCATTTTGCAATTCTAGAACAAAATATTTTCCATATACTTGGGAAGCAGTAATCATGTTATCTGATAGCATATGTCAAATTTAAGAACGGAAAAAAGGAGAAAATTTTATGATCTGTTTTTGTAATATGGTGTGTTGTACTCTTCAAAGTTAGTGACTATCTGACATATAGGTGGCAGCATATGTGAACAAAAGCCTAGGACTGTTGGTTTGCACAAAAAAGACCTATACTATTCTGCTCTGGCCTTCCACCTTCAGAATGTATAGAAATTGTCCTTAAATCAGCACATCTCAGATGAATTTAGTAATACATTCTCCTTGCTCTGGTGATGTATTTTCTAGTGTGCTCCAAGTCTTAATTCCAGAGGTCTCCCACAAAGACAAAAAAGCTTCTATCAAAGGCTTGGCCAGCTTATATTTAAGATCTGTTATTCGGTGTTTTTCCATGCTTCGACCAGGTTCCAAAAATCACTAACAAGTGCCAAGCAAATCTCGTTTCAGAAAGTACACAGCGGGATTGCACACTATCCAAAGTAAGCGCAGAGGCCCTGTTCAGGAAAGTAATTTACTGCCTTGCCTGCATCTGCAATGTGTGACTCGCACTATGCAAAAGGAATTGGTCAAGGCCACCAGTGAGAAAATATTCAGGAGGAAATAAGAAGAGCAGCATGCTTTTGAAAGGTGGCTGTACAGGCTCTCTTCCTGAATATATGACCCAAAATGTTGCGGTTCACCCTGAGATGTTACCTTTGTGCATGCTTCATTTTCCACTGAAGTCAAGTGTTTCCAATCTTCACCTTCACCAGCATCTATTTTTAAGTATGGCACAACTAATATTGATACTATTTATTTGTATTTCACATAGATTTCACTATTGTCTGTCTTCTTAATACTAAATGAACCTCAGAATAGCCAGATGTGACGATGCTTTCTCAGGGCTCATTTGGAAACCACAGGAGGGTCCATGAGGCTTGCTTCCCAGACTGAGATCTAGAAACAAGATCCACTTCCCTCAGGCAGTTTTCCACTTAACTTTTGCTTCACTACAGTAATGCTCAAGGGACTGCTTTTCTGAGAAGTTCCCATCAGAGTACTACTGCCTAGAGGTATCGGTAGGAGGGCTGCTACCTAAGGGATGAGCCAGCTAGAGCTAGCATGACTCTTTCGTGTCTTTGTATACTGCCGTAGCACAGCCTCAGCATACACTGCATTACTCACAGAGGACAATGTACTAGATGTCCTAACTAGACCCTCACTAGGGGAATCTGGGGAAGGGCTGTTTCATTTAGAAATATGTTTTTTAGCATTTCCTGATGAAGATATGTGAGAAGAAAAGGGATAAGGGAAAGCAATCTGGGAGCACAAGGGACTGAACAAGTATTTCCATGAGCAAAGGTAATTGCAGTGAATGCTGATGATGTCTTGCTGGGTGGGCAGAAGGTCCCCCATCCTGTGTCCTTTGGGCAGTGATAGAATCAATATTCAAGCCTCGGTGCAAGGGGGACAAGAGTATCTCCAGCTTTAGTGAGGCTGATCTTCAGCCGTAGGAGAAAGACAGGCTCCTCTACAGCACTCATCTGAATGTTTAAGGGTGAAATGTCATCAGATGGCTCACCAGATAAACCACTTATTGGTGCTGGGAAGGGGCAGTTCCTCCTCCACCCTAACTGCTGGAAGTGTGGTTCCTCCCTCTTCCTGCACAGGCTCTGGCACTCACCTGACCCTGTGGTGAACCAGTAGAGCTCTCTAAGAAGTGGAAAATAATCCTTTGTTATCTCTCCCCACCCCTCTCCCTGCCCAACCTCCTCAGGTTAATTCTGTCTTGGTATAATGAGGTCAATAAGCCAGTCAAGGAGGCAATTGAGGGCCACAGCCATACCAAGGGAAATGGTGGGTGACTGTGAGACCAGAACAAGACTGTGAGAGCAGGATGGCCCAGGCAGCAGCACAGGCAGGAAAGCTCCTCTTTGCCATCTTTGAACCTTGCTTCTGCTCAGCTCCCCCTCTGAACTGCTCTCCAGTGAGTCCTGAGGAAGCCTTTGATGACCAGCTACTCATCATTGTGAATTTGCTATCAGTGTATCTCTCATCAGTACCAAAGCCAGACGAGGTAATAACTGTTTGAACTGGCAAGAATGTGCTCATGTGAGCAAGACCAGAAGCAGGAGATTCTTATCTCTAAGTGAATTAATAGAGACCATATCTACCCTTGAGTCCAGAGTTATGAAACTGGTGTGGACACAGTCCAGGTAGCTCTAAACCAGCTGGCTCAAATGCTGATAGCAACAGGGCTACAGAACATGCTCTGGTCTGCAAAACCCAGCCAAGCCCTGAGTAAATATTTGTGCAGCTACCTTTCTGAGCATCACACCATTATCAATATGTCTGCTGATACTAGTTTATGAGCTGCACTCAAAGCCCTAAGGCTGAAGTATAGACATAACCTTGTAGAACAGCTTATGGAAAGAAGCTCTGTTGTACTTTCCCTTTGTATTTTTTTCACTTTCTTTTCCAAAGACTGTTACTACAAGAAAACAAAAGAAATAGGACCACTTCTAACAATGAGAGTCCAATTATCCAATTATCCACCTTTGATAACCTACTAAAGAAAGGAATGAACGAGAAAGGGAAAGCTGGTAAGACTGTATGCTCATTTGACTGTCTTTTTTTCCAGTCCTATTGATTTCGTTATTAATATTTTCTAAAATAAGGTACATGGAAAAGGTTTTATTTACATTGAAAATGCCATGGCTGATGAGAAATATGCTGTTGCTTGACCGCTTCCATTGCTGGGAAAGTGGAGCTGGCTCACACCTAGACGGCCAGATAAGCTGGGGAGGAGAGTAGGTGTTGGAGAGGAGCCAAAAAGATTGGATGACATAGCAGGTACAAAAAGACACTTGATCTGCGCTGGAGCCAGTGCTGCCAGGCAATCTGTTGCAATGAGTAGCAGAGAGATACGTTAATAACAAGTGACATCCTTTGAAGCTGGTCTAGTGGGGGACAGACAGTTGCCAAACCAGGCGCTCCTTCTGTGGTGAAAAGCTTTGGCATTAACACGCTCCAGCTCAGATGGGTGAGGGAGAGCAGGAAACGAAGAGCAGAGCTGGCTGTGATAAATGAGTCCTGAAGGATTCGTGGCCGACTAATGTGGAACATACGCATCGTGTCCTGTTTATGAGTGAAGACTAGGAGGCCGACACGTGTCAGGCACTGAAGGCTGGCTTCTGTTCTGGGGAGGGGGGAGGAGGCAAGCGCTGAATGATGGTGAGGAAATCATGCCATGGTTATTTAAGTAAAAGAGTACAGGTGAACGTACAACTGGACTGACTTTGCATTCTGTTACTTTGAAATCAATGCAGTTATGTAAAAAAAAAATAAAATTCCAAACACCTGAACTCGAGGAAAATAAGGATGAGTAAACATCAGAAGAACTTATGTGTACACGGGCTAAGTAAAATGAAGACTATCTTAAAACCTGGTTCCCTGGTCCACAAGAATTAATCCAAGTGTTCTAAAGGGTATGAATGATCGAGGAAGGGAATCAATTGGTAAAGCAGAAGTAGGGAATAAGGAGATGAATTAGATAAAAGTGGAGTGTGGAAGTGAATTTAGCAACTTACCCTAAAAATAGACACTTCAGCAGCAGGAGGTGCTGAAGAGGTATAACAAAATGTCCAGATGATGTAATTGTACCATTGTTTTAGCTGTCAGTTCTCTACCATTTGTTGTACGTTTGTGATGCATTTTCATAGAAAATGCTTTCATTCTTTTGTGAAAAAAAAAAAAAAAGACAAACTGAGGAGAAAAAACGGAGTCCTCAGGCACCCAATGGATGGTATGAAGTGTTATATACTACTGCAACACCTTAAAAAAAAAAAAAAAGCTTTGAATAGCATGGGTAATCTGAAATACACAATAGTACTGCTTCTTGCTTTGCAATTTAAGAAAGTCACTATGTTAATTTGCTTTGTTTTGTCCAGTGTTCTTGTCTTAATCACAAAAGTATTTGTCACCCTAAACCCCCACCAGCTTCAAGCCATTCCTAATCCTGCCTTTGCAGTGAGGAGGCAACTGCAAAACCCCGGACCTTATATTCATCTTCTAGCACTCTTGGGTCTTCAGAGACAGAGTCTGTTTGACAGCCCTGGTGG